ACCCTCAACCCTAAACCCTAAATAAACCCTAAACCTTGAATAACCCTAGCCCTAAATCCTAAACCCTAACTGTCCATGTTCTTTCAGAATTCCTCTTCGGGCTCTGTGGGCTTGAGGAGCTGCTGAAGTTCGGCATCCTGGTCTCATGTCAGCTACAGTCAATAGGCTTATATGGGTGATATGGGGTTTCTAGGATTTGTACAGGGGTGATCTGGGGGTTCACAGGGTTTATATACGGGTGATCTGGGGGTTTATAAAGTTCATATAGGGGTGATATGGGGTTTCCAAGGTTTATATAAGGATGATATGGGGGTTTATAGGGTTGATATAAGGGTGATCTGGGGTTTCTAGGGGTCCTATAATAGAAGTTATGTTGGGACATATTGCCCCACTAATGGAAAATCATGTGGAAAAGGCAATCAAACATGAAACGGAAACTGGGCGTATACAGGGGATTTTAGGTAGGAGTTATTTCCAATATAGTTACTGGACATAGGTCCCTATTACGTAAGGACTATGGAACTATACTACCCTACCATAGGAACCCCTACATCCAGTCTCGATAGTATATCGGGGTTATTTAGGGATAATGGAATGGATAATGTAAGTGACTGCAGTAGTGTATTAGAACGTATATATAGGGATACCATAAATGAAGCGATTATATAGGGGTATATCAAAGTTCTCAACCTACCGTCAAACATGCCCAGTTTGGAGGCATCGGCACCAAGGAGTGAGTCTCTGCAAAGCACCAGGAGAATGACAAATAGCTACACTCCCGGAAACTAACATGGAAACCCAAAAAGAGCCCTATGAAGACTGCAGCCCTTATTGGGTTTGCATGTTAGTTTGAGGGAGTGTACTTCAAGCAAACAGAAGTATTTGATTTACATGTGCAAGCAGGTGTTCAACCAAACGAGGTCGCCATGATACACCCTTTAAAAGGATGAAGCTCTCACTGCAAGGGTCCCTGAATTGGGACGCAGCATTTGAAAACTCCTCAAACTGCGGAAATTTCCCTAAAGAGGGGGACCCCAACATACACCCCCAAACACCATAATCCTGATTATGGGCCCTAAACCCTAAATCCCTAACCCCTAAACCCCTAAACCCCCTAAACCCCTAAACCCCGTAAACCCCTAAACCCCTCACCCTAAACCCCTAAACCCATAAACCCTAAACCCCTAAACCCCCTAAACCCCTATACCCCTAAACCCCTAAACCCAAAGATCTCATGTCTCCAGGTGCCTCTTTGGGTGGAGCCTTCGGCTGTTCTACCGAGGTCTCCTCGGCTCGTCTTGAGGCCTGCTGCAACCTGAGCTACATGGGGGGTTTAGGGGTTTAGGGGGTTTAGGGGTTTAGGGTTTGTACTTCTTTGGGGGTCCCTACAATAATGAGTTAAGGAGTACAGTATATTGGGGTCTATATTGGAGTCCCCGCCTTTTAGGGAACTGCCATTTATGTGATCCAGCATTTGTTAGCAAGGCATATGAGCTGTAGTCTAAATTCCTAGTATCCCCCTTAATAAGCCCTAAAGTAGTCCCCTA